AGTTCCTCGCATGTTTTGGGCCATTCAACGACACAATGTCACAATCTTCGAGTTGAAAATCATGGCCGTCACCCGGCTGGCATCAACTCCACATGCAGAGAGAACGACGAAGAGCCAATCGTCCAGCTTCCTCGACAAGGTAACGCGCGACAGGAAACGTGCGCGCTAGCGCTAGGCGTTCCGTCTCATCACCGCCCTTCTGCATGCTGAGAAACCCGTTGCCTTGGTCATTGAGTCCGTCGGAACGCCAACGTCCCGCCATAAGCTCGGCCGTTACAACACGACATGCGTCAGTACGGTCGGAATGGTCGTCTTGGTTTTCAGTCAGAAACACGCGTCGACGTCTATCGTGACCAGCCAAGCGCAATTTCACCTGAGCAAAAGTCGCCGTCTATCCTTTCGTCATCAGTACATCGCTGGCAAAATCGATTCTAATACTTCTACCTAATCTTTACATCAGCTGTGGCTGCTAATCTCTGAAACCGTCGTCTACCGTCGTCTACCGTACCCTTGATGCGATAACACTAGTCCAGCATGGTGTATCGCGGGAGACCGTCAACAGGGTGCAAGAAGTGTCGCGAGAGAAAGATCAAGGTACGTCCAACTCTCTTATATGTAATCATGTAACCTGGCTTGGTTTTCCGACAAGGGCATGCAGTGTGCGGTGTTCGCGTTGGGCGCCGCAACCCGCGACTAGCTTCTTCCCAACGCGGTATCCTGTGCGAGAGGCTATCCGCAGACACAGCACCATTCGCACCGGGCATTCAGTCCGCTTTCTTGACTCGAGCCGCTGACTAGATTGCAGTGCGATGAACGGCCAGAGGGCTGTATCAAGTGTGCCGAACGCAACTTCAAATGCCCGGGATACGATCGAACCGTCGACGCCTTCTTCCACGACGAGACCAAACATGTGCAGACAAAAGCAAAGATATCAAACGCAAAAGCCATCGCCGCACGTGATGCGCGAGATATCAGAGATGTACGCGAGGCCTATCTCCAGATCATGGCGAAACAATGTCCGGGGACGGCCATAACAGCTTCGCTCATCGACCAAGGCATCAGCTTCTTCATGTCGTACTATTGTACAGGAGTGGACCAGCCATCCATACAGTCAATCGAGTACCAGCAACATCTTTCCACGCATGGTTTCCATCCGCTCGTCTCTACGACCATGACAGCGCTGGGCATCGCCGGTGTAGCCAACCTCTACATGGACCCTCGTCTGAAAGCCGAAGCGACACGCTGGTATCTTGAGGCTATCAAGATGGCCAACAAGGCAATCTCTTCGCCTGAAGCTGTCAAGGCCGATAGCACTCTCACCGCCGTCAATCTGCTTAGTATGTTCGAAGCAACGTTCAACGACACCTCTCTGGCTGGATGGAGTAACCACGTCGATGGCGCTGCATCTCTCATCAGACTCAGAGGCATGGAGCAATTCTCTACTCCCGCGGGACAACGCATGTACCTCCACACTGTTGGCCTACTCACTATGAACTGTATGGGAAAGGGCATTCCCCTTCCTCAGTATGTTCACGAGCTGAACAGCGAAGTCATGAAGCATTTGGATACACACGATCCAAGAAACCGATTCTTCTTCCTTCACATCAAGACCATTGACCTACGAGCTCGCATCCTCAATCAGTCGGCGTTCTCGTTGTCGGAAATCATAGAATCGGCACTCGAACTTGAAGACATCGCCGTCAACATCTTCAAGGATCAAGGGGCAGACTGGGATTACGACGTCGTGCATTGCGAGAAGAGTGAACGTATCTTTGAGAACTTCTACCACGTCTACCCGACCGCGACAGCAGCTCAGACTTGGAACTGGGTGCGCTACAACAGAATCTACTTCCACGACATTATCCGGAACTGCATCCTGGCAGGGTTCGCAACTAGTCCACCGACGCTTACTGGCAGCAGATACCACGAGCAGCTAGCGAAAAGCGCTCGCATGCTGTACCAGTTGCAGTCCGATATCATAGCAAGCATGCCCCAGTTCATGCATGATGTTCCCGATTCTGCGCCGAGCAGAGCGACGACCCCACCCGATGACGATTACGACGAACCGCGCACGTCGGGACGTGGCGCACCATGGACGGCATCCGCTGCGCCAGCAAGCCCATACCGTATAGCCCTCAAATCTCTTGATGGCAACTTCCGAGGCAACACATACGGGCTTGTCAAAGCTCTTCTCGGGAACGGATCTGTAAAGGACCGGCTTCCTATCGTACGCGTCGCAGGAGGATACAGTACTGTATGGGCGCTTTACGTGGTACGTCTTTTCATCGTCAGCGGTATGTTCTTGCTACTAACAACCAATGTTCTAGGCCGCCGCCATGCCCATGGCCTCACCTGAAAGCCAAGACTTTGTCCAAAAATACATGTCGCGCATCGAGCACGAGTTCGGCATCAAGCAAGCCCGCGTCTTGGGCCAGGCCTTGCGCCTCAAGCGGTACCTCGACCAGAAAGGCGCTATTGCGTTTGGTATCTGTCCGGAGTATCTACCGCCCGATGGAACAGAAACGTATGTTTCGCATCAGCATTTATACAGCAAGGTTGTTGAGGAGACGGACGAGTCGCCGTAGAAGTCGTTCGTTGACGATGGGGATGTGGGGTCAGACGAGGTCGGTTCTTGAGTCTTCGGTACGGCAAAATCTGTGGGCACTGTTAGCGACGACCCGGTGTAGCAACAAGATGAGGTCAACTCCACGAGGTCTGCAGTGCTACCGAGTATCAGCGAAGGCTTGAGGAACGTCGCAAACAGCCTGTACAAGGCCGCGAATGGGCATTGTGGTCCTCCGGCGTACACATAGGCTTCCCCCGGTCGAAGCTACGGCTTCGTTGGCGCTGCAAGTATCAGCGAGACAGTGAATACTTCCCCAGCGCGCTCGTGCGTGAAGTACCGCCCATTGCGGGCGAACGTTTTGCCGCCGCACGATGCATTTGTACCTCTCCTTTCTTCGAGCCCCAAGATATCTTGCGCGAACAAACTGCACGCCTTCCGCGGTCACTTTGCACCTGAATCGACCTCGTCAACGAAGAGCTTCTGTCAGCCATGTCGATTCCCTTCCTTCCACAGCCGGGCTCGCCTCTGCTTCAACTTCCCGGAGAGCTCCGCAACAAGATTCATCGGAACGTATTCAAGCAGGAGGGCCACATCTTACTGGTACCATCGACCGTCATTCCGGGGCCGGTCATGGTTTGCGCGATTCCAGACATTGAGTTGCTTAGTACCTGCCGCCAGTTTCACGACGAAGCCAGAAGTATACTTTTCTCGGACAACACCTTCATGCTCTCTACGCAAATGGACGCTTTCACCGACGCTTCGACCCTAGGACTCCTGAGCAGGTGGATGGCAGGTCTTGGTTCCAACCTCGATTACGTGCGCAAAGTCGTGATCGATCTCGAACCTCTTTGCCCGGGACTATGTCAGCCTGCCAATGATAGGATCGACTTGAAACCTATCATGGTGATGATATGGCGGTATCAGTATATACTCACGAGCCAAGGCAACCGACAGCGCGCGAAGATTGAGGTGTCATACGCGTTCTCGGGACGAGACCTTCGTTCACATGACCACTGGAGCATTCCAACCCCATACCCTATCAACAAGTCCAATCTCAATGCGATGATCACACTGTTGACGCCTCAGCGTAGTCCGGAAATGAGCCCCTATCTACGAGCACCCCGGTCGCTTCACAGCATTGAGGCCACACTCGACGGTCTACAAGCTACGTTCATCCTGAAAAGGTCTAGCCATCAACGTCCCGATGACAACGCCCTTCCAATCATTCCATACGATGTGGACAGCAACGGCCAACTTCAGAGGATGAATTGCATCCGTGGCCGAGCCCTCCGTATCGCGAACCTCCTTTACTCGACCTCGATCAAGAAGAAACTCCTTGGTATGCTTATGGAGTCAAACGACCATCATTGTCTTACATACAACATTGAGAGCCGAACAATCTCACGCCGCCTACCCGAGCTATTTTCGATCAATCGCCAGTTCCGAAGAATTGCCCTCAAACAGTGGCAGCACATATATGTCGTTGGAAAGATGACGTCACGCAGCGCGCAGGCTTCGTTTGATGATTTCGCATCGATGCAGGCTTGGTGTGCGGCTAGTGGACTATTCTTCCCTGATAAGTGGGAAGAGCGCCCTGATATTTCACCTACTCTGAATATGCGCTTTGAGCTACCGGAGCGAAAGGACTTTTCATGTCTCCGGATCTCGATCACCAACACTATCATGGCAACACTCGAACTCCCTGTGAACTCACGGCTATGGGTTGAGCAGTTTAATGGCGGCCTGCCCCTTCAATACAAGACGGGAATGCTGTACAGACTTCAACGGCAGATGTTTGTCTTTCTCGCCGACGTACTGCACTCACACCCAGATCGCAGTAACGAAGCCTGTCCCGACGTTATCATGGACGGCAAGTGTATTATCAAAGACATCGAGTATGAGCGGGATGACGGTAGTAAGTTTACAATCAAGTACGAGAGGGCGGACGAGGACCTTGAAGAGATGGAAGAGGACATCGAAGACTGGATCAGCCATTTCGTCGAACAGGAAGATCTAGATATAACGGCTTACGTACCCACTATCACCTATCAAGACGATGACGATTTCGGTACCCATGAGAAGTTCCGGTACGACTTGAGCGCGCCCCACCACCCTTCTTTGCGCGGAGTAATTACAAAGCTCGCGTGCTTCCTATACGGAGCTGATATAACTGGTGAGTATTGGGACTGATGTTGCTGTGGTGGAAGACATGAGAATAGGTACCCAGGTTAGATAGTTTGATGTATGTGGTAGCGCTCAAACAATCTCAAATGATCATCTGAACGTCTCATGCGCCACGTAAAACAGCAAAGTGTCATTGTGATCCAGCGCGTATACCTATCGAAGATTTCTATCCTCTCCCTACGTCCCCCGCCTTGTACTACGCCAACGTTCGCGAGCACCTCACCCTCATACCATAATTCCGACCGAGACGATGTCTGCGAACGACACACTACCACCTCCTTACACGACCCGTCAGCTCCGCCGCTACACCCGCTACCCCAAACTCTACGCCGAGCGAAGATATCCGCACCCCTCTCATTCCTCCAACCAGCCCAATCAGCCATTCCCGCTCATGAAGATCCCCATCGAACTACGCTACATGATTTATGCATGCGCCCTCACCCTCCCCTCCCCCATCGAACTCTGGCCCGAAACCGACAGCCCCATCGCCTCGCATCAAATTGTGACCGCAAACCGCAACATGCAGTACCTGAAAGTCAAGATGCGGCGATGCGGCGTCAACCTGAACTTGCTGAGAGTGAGCAGACAGGTAAGACATGAAGCTACGTTTTACTTCTACAGAGAGACCGAGTGGCGCTTCAGCGGGATAAATGGGTGGATGGTTGCGAGTGCGTTCATGTTCATGAGTGCGTTCATGTTCACGAGTGCGTTCATGTTCACTTCAAGAGAAAAGTATGCGTGGCAATACATCAAGTGTATCACACTGCCGTTACCGGTTCGACATACGACCCAAGGGCGAGCGCAACAGCGATGGGGGATGATTAGGCCGGCGGTGAGTAAACGCGTGAGTGTTCGGCTCGCTAAACAGATCCCTTTCGACGTCCCTGATGGGTGGGAGTATGAGAGTAGTGTTAAGGATGTTTGTGTCGCGTTGGGAAAGTGTATGAATTTGGAGGTGCTGAGGCTTGTGCTACCGAAGTGGTGTGATATGGAGGTCGTTGATCAGGGGGTGATGAAGGATTTTGCTGGACGGATTGAGCGGTTAAGGGAGGTTGTTGGGGAAGGGTTGAAAGTGGAGTTGGTCAAGCTGGGTGGGGTGAAGACAGCGATAGGAGATTTGATCACGGCGGATGAGAAGCAGGAGAGGCTTGTAAAGGGGCTTACGGAGAAGGGGTGGAAGGTTAGGACAGCGAAGTGCGACAAGTTCGGGAGGTACGATGTTGGGGATGTGTGATAGGAGTCAACTATGTGACCCGTCGGTGTTACTCTATCGTCGACACAAGTCTTCATCCCAAACACAAGATGCACGGTGAAATTGAACTGAATACGTCTTTCTCTAGGGCATAGCTACCGATCGAAGCTCCTCTTGATCTACGAAGATAGGGACAGTCTCTCTGCCGATTGCATCAGAAGAGGGTCTGGCCTGGAATTGATAAGCTCACCGCTAGCTTCCAATCGATCTAGAACAACACGCAAATCCACGAGGGTTAGCTGGACACGTTCTTATGCGGGCGGATACCAGCAGCCTAGATGAGCGATCCATTTCGGAAGATACGCCACCATGCGATTGGCTGCTGCGGCACCAACGAACTCGGATCTTAGGGGCGTGAAATGACTTTGGTGTTCCTAAAAGTGCGATTGAAGATCTTTCGTCACACTGTTTCAGTCTCGCAAAATTTTCGTGTCCAATCTGCGCTTGGGCGTCATCGCAGCGGTCAAGACGAGTTGTGCATTGCTTCCCCTAGCTGACGACGTGTACAATCGAGCTATCTGGGTAGATGCATGTTGTTGCGGTACGGTGAGGAACTGAAATGGGATGATTCTGGACCGGGCTATTATCGTTGCTTGTGCCGTGTCGGGGACTTTCGCAATCGGGAGGAAGTGGAGATGCGCAGGCGCCACATCCCTGAGCCACATCGTTACGCCACACTTGTGCGGTCCGCTGCTGCGGCCCTACGTGAAACCTGGGCAGTACATTCTCACTTTCGATATTACTCCGTCTTGGACGACACAAATTCGCATCTCCCAAGCATAGCTACACAGATCTAGAGATCGCGAAGGACCGAACAAGGGTCGTTTCGACGCCGGATGCAAAATGGCAATCGTGCAATCGGAAGACGACTACCCGATCGCGACCAGCGAAACACGGCACGACACGCGCAGTACCCACGACTCCACGACTCTACGTCGATCAGTAATCGACGTGCCATGACACAGTACTACTAACTACAACAACATGTGTATTCCGTGGATGGGCTGAGCGATCGTTTGACGACCAGCCTTGGACGTCGTCTCGAGTCGCAATGCAGCTAACCTCCAGGGCGGTTGGCGTCAGCCGGCTGCATCAACCTGGCAAGCAAGTCCTGTCAGCAACTCTTGAACACGCGGGATCCTTATCAGCGTGGTGAACAGAGGTACACCTGGGAATGGCACCTGGGCGTCATGCACGACACCTGTTTGCGCGACATGACGTGCCAAGACGCCTCGAGCTGGTGTTTTACGCCCTTCAGGAAGCGTCGCGATTGGCGGAGATATCGAAAAGAAAGTCATTGAAACTATCTCACACTCTAGCCAGATTCTAGCGCAAGGCTCGCCCCGTGACACGAATCGCAAAATGGGTCTTGGCAGGACCCCAATGATGTTCCCGGAGAAATGCTTGACTGGCCAGACGTATTCGAACAACGAGCGGAAATTTCAGTTCTCCTTGGCGTTCCAGATAGGTGGTTACGATGTGGATATTTGAGAGGTTTCATGTCAAAGCTTGGCATTTTGGCGAGCGTTGGCGTCGGTGTGACAGGCTGAATCCAGCACTAGTCGATCGGACATGTAACGACTTCCTGGCTTTTGGTGGTAAATCCATTGTCGTGTGCGTTCGTGTGGCGTTCCAGAACACGATGTCTCTCAAGTCGTCTCCCAGAACTCGTCTTTCTGAGATGCAAATTGATGTCTTATCGCGCTGATGATGATGAGAGTTGAGTCTGGAAGACAAGACGGTGCTTACTGGATAATTCACTCTCTACCAACTCCACAGTACAAATGAGCCTGGCATGGATGCTATCGAGATATCCCGCCCTGAGCGTGTTTCCGACCTCCAAGCCCCACCAGAGCACGGCCCTGACGTCCTCGAAACCCTGCGAGCGTCTTCTTCTGGGCCATCCTACTCACATTCGCATGACACTCTGGGCCTGGGCTCATGAGTACCGCCGGAGAGGAACAGTACCCTGTCTTCCACATGGCACATCTTCGGACGAATGTGGAGTGCCTCAGTGTGGTACCAAAAGGCGAGTTGAGGGGGAGTATAAGTATCACAGCGACCACCGGCAAAAAGGAACCACCACCACCATCACATTCATTCAGTCTATTCTTGCTTGAAGCATCCACTTTCGCTACCTCTTTCAGAGACTTACATTCTTTATACATACTTTGTTCAAAGCATCCTCTTCGACTTTCCAGTTTCGATCAACCAACTCAACCATCAACATGAAGTTCTCCATCGCCATCGTTGCTGCCATCACTGGCTTCGCCGCCGCCGGCCCTGCCGCCGTTACTCCTTCCGAGTTCTCCTCCTTCGCCAAGCGCGCCTCCCTCCCGATCCCCGCCTCCAAGGGCTCCGTCACCTACAAGGCTCCCCAGCAAGTCAGCGGAACCTTTGATGGTGGCATGAAGACCTACGGCCGTGGTGCTAGCTGCACTGGCCAGGTCGAGGGCGGTGACAAGGACGCTGTCTTCCTCATCAAGAACGGCGGAACTCTCAAGAACGCTATCATCGGAAAGGACCAGATCGAGGGCGTCCACTGCGAGGGTGAGCATCCTTCCGTACAAATAACGAGTCATAGATACTAATCTGAACCAGGATCCTGCACCATCGAGAACGTCTGGTGGGTCGACGTTTGCGAGGATGCGCTTTCCCTCAAGGGTGACGGAAACGCCATGATCAAGGGCGGAGGTGCCCAGGCCGCTGATGACAAGGTCATCCAGCACAACGGAAAGGGCACGGTCACCATTGACGGCTTCAGTAAGCTTCCTCCGGTCTCGAGCATTTCCATACAAAACACTAACACCTCCCAGCCGTCATGAACTTCGGCAAGCTCTACCGTGCCTGCGGTAACTGCAAGAACAGCGTCGCCCGCTCCGTCGTCATCAAGAACGTCAAGGCCTACAACGGAAAGGTCCTTGCCGGTATCAACCCCAACTTCGGCGGTACCGCTACCATCTCCGGCACCTGCGCTACTTCCGTCAAGACCATCTGCGAGGAGTTCAAAGGCACCAAGCCCGGCTCTGAGCCCAAGTCCGTCTCCAAGGGCCCCTCCGGCAACTGCAAGTACACTGCTTCTGCTGTCAAGTCTTGCTAGACGAGTACTTCGACTCGCTCGGCAGTTTAGTCGGGTGAGAGTGGTGTGGTCATCGGGGATGACTAGGTGGTAGATGTGGATTTTGGAACTTTGAGGATTCTTTGTATATATAACCTTTGCACACATGCAGTGCATGTAATCAACTTGCTTCAGCACTTTTCTGTTCTCGATATCATGGTGATCCGAAGCTTGCCTCAGGCCCGTTTGAGTTTGTGGGTCTGATGCAAAAGCGACAGCGGGGATGCGACGACAACTTCGCATTTGATCGCTGTGAGATGTTGTCGCAGCGGGAGGCATACAGAGTACTGCGCCACAGTGACAGCAAAGTGTCGTTGAGGTTCATCGGGCAGTCTCGGCGTTACTGGGGAACTTTTGCAAGATTGATTAATCTATCGTCGGCTACTTGCACCTCATTTAATCTACTACGGAAGCATCGGAGCTAATGCCTGGGCAGATGAAACACAGTGAGTCTTCTCAAGGTTGTAAAGATCAGCAGCCAAGTAGGTAGGGAATTGTATGACTTTTCGCATTAGGGTACATGACAAGATTGTGGCTACCACCTCCATACGCCCGCTACAATTTTGGAGGCGCTGTGGGTGGCAACACAGTTTTGGTATGAGACTGAGAAACGAATATTAGGAGATAAGAAAAAGGTATATCCCGCAACACCGCTCCGTGGCAGTGAGGACAAGGAAGTCAAGAAATCCATAAGCAACGCAAGTGGGCAAGGCGGTGACGTCATTTCTGACACTTCGCCGAGCTTTGAAAAGAAAAGCAGATACCAAACAACTCCGTCACCCTGGGTATAACGCGCCGGTAAACAAGGAACTGGACGTGCTAGCCATCACTCGCTGCGACGCTTCTTCGTAGGCGCTTTCTTGCGAGGTGCTTGGCTAGCTGGGTCCTCCGCAACGAAGGTCTCTTCGCGAGCGCGCTTCTTGCCCCTTGAGACCTTCTTGACTTTTGTAGACTCTTCGCTGTTGGAGCCCTCCTCGCCATCCTGCTGTGTCGCCTTGTCGCCCTTGTCTTCGCCGCTGGAAGAAGCTGCCTTGCTGCTTTCTTTCTTGATTGCCACTTTGCCTGCCCGAATTTGCTGGCCTTTGTTGACGTTGGCAGTCTTGTTGGTGGCTGTGCGATGGATCAGGTTGCGCGGGTTGGCGATGATAGTGTAGAAGCGGGAACCCTTCATGATGTCTTGGCAAGACGTCTTGGAGTACTGTGTACGTTTAGCATCAAACTGTATAATTATGAAGACAGAACACTTACATGAAGCAGTTCCCGAAGACCTTCGAATCGATCTTCAAACGTGTAGAACTGGGTAAGCTGACATTGCTCACGCTCGTTCTGGTCGAAGATCTGCTTGGTCCAACCGTCGGTGTGGATTTTGATCAGCTCTTTCTGTGCTACGTTAGTGATGGCAGAGGGATACAGTTCGGTTTGGACTTACCACGAGCAGGCCAGCAGCTGCATTGTACTCTTCCGGGAAATAATACTTGGACTCAGAGTTCCACCGATTGGTAGGTGACTTGATATCGGCCTTCTCCCGGATGTTTTCGACGTTGTGCATTGCCAGGTCAAGAGCATTGACGCAGGCCTTGATGTCATCTTCTGTTGTAGGAATGGTCACATCATTGGCAGGCGCCTTCCACATCGTACCACTGAACTCAACTCCAGTGTTGGTGCGAACCATAGTGATAGACTCGCCCATCTGCCCATCCATACTGGTCTTGGCCTTCAGCTTCCTGATCGCGACCCGGGCTTGCTTCTCTTTTTCGAGAATGTGCTTGGGTGTGGTAGATTTAACAGCGCCCGCGCCGTCAGCGCCGTCAGCAGCTTGCTCGCCAGTTCCAGCGTCCTTGTTCTCGGACTGCTGGGGAACAGATGCGTCACCGGTTGCTACTGTGTGGTGCGTGACAGGTGCGTGATGGTTGGTGACGGGCGGGCGGTGCGCCGCCGATGTATCAGGAGTCGCTGACGTACGTGACGACGATGACCTACTGCGCGATTCTGATGCACTTTGCGGGCCGATTTCATGGCGCGGCTCCGGTCCACGGTGCAGCTCTGGTGCGCGTTGCAGCCCTGATGGATCTCGCAGGCCGCCTGATGAACGTTGCAGCTCTACGTACTGCCAGCCTAGTGCACGTTGAGGCTCTTGTGCATATTGTCGCCCTCGTGCTTGGTGGCCGACTGCTTCGTGAAGAGCCGCTGATATTCGATCCATGGATGAAGGATGAACTGGCGCTGACGGAGAGACCGGTGTTGACGGATAACCTGATGCCGATGGGTAACCTGACGCCGATGGATAACCTGACGCCGATGGATAACCTGACGCCGATGAATAGCCTGGCGCTGACGGATGAACTGGCGCTGGCGTACGGGATATTGGTGCTTGGCGCAGAGTTCCTGGTCCGTGAAAGGTCGCTGGTCCATGAGGAGCAGTTGATCCGTACGTGGGCGGTGCTAGGTAAGCCGAACCTGGCCTATTTACAGGCGATGTAATGTTGCTTCGCAGAGGCTCATGACCCATTGATGGTGTCGGGGTAACAGATGTTGATCGCGGGATGAATCCTAGACGACTTGCAGACAGCGTTTGGATCGGATCTGGTGTGGGAACAGACATCGTTTGGGTGAACCCATCATTGTAAAATGAGTTCGGTCCAGACGTATGACGCGCAGGCGACTGAGGGGAGTTGTTGGGTGCGCCTAGAAGAAGTCAGTGTGAGCGCGCGACACAGAGTGTATATCATGTCGACTTACCGAAGGCTACGTTACTCTCTGGCTGATACTGTTGGCCAGTCTCTACGTGATTGTGACCTCCTTGCAGGTTCCAGTCAGAGGCCGACTGTCCGGGTACGCTCTCGCCAGAAGTGTACATATCTCCTTGATGGTCGAAATAGCCGCCGTTGTCTCCGAAGCTCTCAGAAGGGAACAAAGGAAAGTTGTCGCCGTAATCAAACACGCTTTGGTCGTTCTGCCTGAAGTCGTTCTGTTCGATTGAGCCAGGATGTGTTGAAGCCACCGGCGCGATAGGAGGGGTCGATGAGACAGGATTCTCCTCCATGAACTTCGCAAAAGAATCGTAGTCAAATCCCTCAGTGATTGAGTAGTCGGCCTCGTGAGTGGAGGGGTTGTTGGAATTCATTGTAAAGCCGTCGTCGTTGTATGAAATGAATTTTGCAAGTTGTGGTTGTGAATCGAAGTGGTTGAGGGGAGTAATGTTTCCTTGAGATCAAAATGAAGCCCCAGAAATACTACCACGCGGGTACAACGCGCTAGGAGTTTGTTTGTGGCGCAGAGCAGAAGGCTCCCAACTCGGATGAAGTGGGTCAGAGGGTGAATCACGTGTTCACACGGCGGCCGCTCCAAGGCGGGGGAGGGGCGATTAAGGAGGAAATCACTGTAGCGCCAAGCCCAAAGCGTGAGGGAGACCGAAGTGTTCATGCAGGCGGCAAAACCAGTAGCGATACTACGTATCAACTTTCGAGGCATCGCGCTGTTTCTTGCCAGTCAAGTATATAAACTCAACTAAACCATGTATAAGTAAGCCAGAGCCCCTCGACGCCGTCTAACATAGCGAAACGTAAGTGCAAGGCTCCTACTGTCGACTGTATATATCTCTTTCTAGGCTTGTCCTGCTGCATCCTTTCCGCCGTACCATTCCAAATGGTACGAACTTGGTGAATGGGGTTTGAAAGACAGTTCTCAAGGAGACGTGAAAGAGCAAGGAAAGCGAGATTGCTTGCGGGACAGGGAAAGACAGCCTACCCATAAGTGTTCGAGGATTCCACGTCACTACTTAACACTACCGCCCAGGTGTTTGTCTCAACCGAGAAAGCACTCCCAGATGTTGCACTCGACAAACTATTCCGGCAAACGCAAACACTCTTCCAAACTCAACCTTGACAACTGCGCCGGCTAACCGAGCATACTCGCTTCGCTTGGAATAGTAAGTTGGAGACGACAATGCCGACCTAACTAACCCCTAGGTAGACGTTTGCTGTGTCGTGCTGCCTTGACCAAGGCATGCCGAATGGCGCAACCAAGAAACCCGATCTCTATTGGACTTTCAGTCGGATCAGAGAGCTCAAGACAAAGAAAGCAAGTCCATCCATCAGCCGCTCGGTAGCTGATGATTCCGACGGTAGTGTCCTTGACGGCACGTGTTCGCGACAAGAGCTCCCTTTGACATCCTGCCGAAGGAAGCATCTTCAGTGATGAGATTCGAAAAGGAGGCCAAGCGATTGAATGCGATGGCGACGCGTGGCGAGTCCGTCAATCTGCAGCAGCACGTTCGCTGCGGGGGAGCGGCGCATCGCGGCAGTCCGAAGAGCATTCCCTGGACACGACTGTACTCGATGAAAGCTTACAGAACTGTCCAGCACCAGTCCTCGAAAGAAGCAAGAAGCGGCCGTGCACCAGGCGGAGTCCATGAAGGTTTGTCGTTGATTTTGAGGTGGGATCAATGCGCGCTAGCGACGGCGAGTCTGCCCCTCGTTCCTGCCTTCCTTCTCCGCAACTTCCAACTTCGTCCGCTTCCACCAAACATCGACAGCATCGTCAATCTCGCCACCGCTGGGACCTTCTCTTTACTGGTACTTTCACCCTAGGTGGCGTTTGAATCTTCATGTCTTCATGTGATTAAATGCCCAACCCTTTCCCGACGGTGGCTTCGATGGCTGTGCTGCCATAAAAGTCGACGGGCCACGCCCACGCCCACCACCATCACCGCGACCCTCACAATGCTGCACCGAACGCGATCTTTCCAACGCTTCGCGGATTAAGATCATCGGCAACATAAGCCCAACTGACGGCGCGGTACAGCCACTGCCCTTTCGACGCGTCTGATGACGCCGCCATCGCCCGAGACAAACATGCCAAGGCAACATTCCCTCCTCGCCGCGCACCAGCCAGTCAGGTATGCAAACTCATTGCACTTCGAAACCTTTCGCGCCCATATTCACAGCCACTAGCATCCAACTCTTCTCCACACACCGTGATGGCATACCACGCCGTAGTCGTGCGGCTGCCGCTGCCGTCGAGCCACTCAACTGGCGCAACCTAGATGACACCTCACCGAAGGTTCAACTCCTAAGCAAGAGCGACTTCCAACGCGAGAATACTGCACTCAAGTGTAATGAGAGTACTCTCTTCCACCATTTTTTCCGGTCTCGTTCCCGATCAAAAGTGACCACCTTCCCGCCGGGCATGGAGGTCACATGACGCATCCCGCCTGGAACGCTCTTGCTTGGAAAGACCCCGGTGACACCTGAAAGAGAAGGGGCTACATTATCTCATGGTACTGTGTCGCACAAAGTGTATTGCTGCTTGCCAGTCTTGGTCGACGAAGATCCGTTCGCGTCTTTACGATATGGACTTGCACATGCACTTGCAGGCGCAGCCCATGCAACACCTCATCGGAGAGCTGGACAGAACACGCGTAGACCTGGCAAGACGTTGCTTTTCCGGAACCTGAACAGTGTGTAGTCGGTCGCGCGCTCTGTCGCTGCCAGCTGCAATCGTATATGCTGACGGGCCTGCGACGGCCTCGCGCATCCGTATTGTCGCCGATCTTCATAAGGTTCCTATGGTACGCCATTAGCTCTTATGTCTTTCAGTTCAACAAGAAGTCATTCTATGTAAGGTAGTCAGTATGTTAACATATGTCACAGGCAACATCGCACGCAGCAAGGCCATATCACACGACGCCAACCTCGCCCAGTATCCCAGGCAAGACGCATATCACGACACTACACGCTATCGACATGTCGCAAGTGCTATGAGGGCTTGTGGATCGGGGCAATGGGTCGTGGGTGTAACAAACGCTCAGGTCCTAGGTGAATGCGAGGATGCCAAGACGCTCGGACGCACGTTACTCACGCCTGTGCTGTCCATACCCACGCAGCCCCCCGGCAACAGGCAACGATCATGACAACAAACCTTCGTCTTCTTTCACAGAACGCAATGCCAATGTCGGGCTCTCGCACCTGACATCCTCTTGGCTTACAAATCGTCCGCGGTTGTCACAGGCGACCTTCAATTTCCTACTTCACTCCGTCGTCGCCTGCGTAAGTAGCACACCAGATCCACTTCAATCCGCGCGCAATCCGCGCATGATTTTTCACTAGCCCGGTGGTCAAGCCTTGCGAACATAAAGATCGGGAGACTCCCGCAGTCAGTTCACCCCCACGCCGCATAGATCTCATCAATTCTTCGAGTAGGTTCCACCGGTGCTGGAAAATAGATGCTGGAGTTCACTAACAGGTGTCTTAGTTGCAAGCAGTAACCGTTGAAACCGAAAACCCCCACTACCAGCCCCAGGAAACCAACAACATGACCGACCACGACCCCGATAAGGAAACCCCCAAGGGCATAGCCAACAACACCCTAATGGTGATCAAGAGCCAGACTGCATCTCCCTCAGCTCCCGTTGGTGCTCGTGCTCCTGTTCCCTTTGCTCCTCCCATTCCCCGCCTTGCGGACACGCGCCTGGAAAAGGTCCCCGGCGGTCTCAAGGATCCGTCTCGCCTTAAGACCAAGATTTCCCAGCTTCTGGACAAGGATGGTGACTATCCAGAGGTCGATGGCTTCCGCTTCAAGACCCTAGAAGAAGCTAGGGCGCCCATGGACGAGCCTCAGTGGTATTCTCCAGAGGTCGACCCCTCCATCCCCGTTACCGCCGCAGAGTATCGCAAATTTGTCAGGATGTTGGTGCTAGCTTTCAAGGATATGACCCGCGCCAAGGACACCCAGGGCAACGCCTACCGCAAGCGGCTCACTCCTGGTGAAGGTGTCTATTACCAGGACTGGGCTATTGAGGCGTGCTCCTGGGACATCGTCGGCATGGCCAAGGACATTCACCTGAACGGCTTCAAAGTTCGCATCTACGATAAGTCCATCATCGACAACATCAGCCAGACCAAGGACTGGACCTTCGGACAGCGTATAGAGTGGATCTGTGCGGTGCTGAAGACCTCCAAGCAGATTGGCGTTACTCTGATGAAGAACGAGAAGACCTGGACTACTATTGGCGCTCCCCACAAGCTGTACAGTAGCACCATCGTCAACTGCGTCTCGAACGCGCACCGCGGCCAGTGGATCAAGGTCGGCCGTGACAACGACCAGCACCATCAGAATCGTCCGATTCGGGGTAGGCGTACTGCGGCTGAGATGATCGCGTCTGGTGACAACGATGACACTGATGATCCTCGAGCAACTCCGGGTTCTCAGATGATGTTACAACCGCGACAGTCGGCTCAGAAGCGCCAGAAGCGTAGTCAACCGGGTATGAACGTCATTCAGCATGACCACCCAGCCATGGCCGTCGACTCTGAAGGCGAGATGTCTCCCGGAAAGATGAAGAAGAAGGCCCCAGAAGAGCGCAAGACCACAACCCAGTACAACTCGTCATCCCCCACCTACGTTGTTCAGTCAGAGACTTCGGCATCTCAGCGGGATGAGCACCACCCTGGTGCTGACATGGGCGTTACCTTTTCGAATGTACTTCCCGTGAAGCATGTCGTCGCTGTCCCCGTGCAAGCTGCTCGAAAGAACGGTGCCCAAGCTGGTGATGTCGTCTCCAAGGATGCGTTCAGCAAGGACGTATTCAACGAGGGTGCTGTTGGCAAGAATGTCTCTAACGACGACGGTGACGGCTCCTCTCTAGACAAGGCCAACAAGAAGACTAAGCACACCGGTTTCGTCAACTACCATTGCGGAGCCAAGGGCATGGACGAGCTTGACTCCGACAGCTCTGAGCTCTCTGATGCACCTGACGATCTGCTATCTCCTGGCTCTACTTCTTCAACTCGCAGCCACAAGCAGAAGGAGCTGCTGGACGACCCCGAGGACAAGGTTTCCGTTGAGGAGTACGCCAAGCTTCGGGGTGAAATGGATGAGCTGAAGGCGGCGCAAGCTGAGACCGACAAGATTTTGGCGGCACTCCGCGCGGAGAACGCGCGCTCGTTGGCCTCGTTCCATCAGGGCTCTTGAGTGGCTGAAGACTGGCGCAGAGAGACTCAATCAGCATCGAATGATTAAGTACACGTTTGGCCGTCCATGAAAAGAGATGGATGACCAGTCTTTCCTGCCTTTCGGTAGGATAAGATTCTGAATGGAGTTCATATGGGAATAGTTGAAGTAGCA